AACTAGCATATCTAATGGACGGCTCAACAAATATGGGATAGACCAGTTGGCTAAAGCAGTGTACCACCCCTCTTGTCTCATCCTTATGGTTTCGGAAAATTTTGGAGATGTCACACTAGTTTAATTTGTCACTTTAAAAAATTAGGGTTTTTAGGTGTAATTGTCCCTGAATTTGTACTCGATTCAAAAACTGCACCAATCACTAAGTGTGAAGAACAAATACAGAAACTTCAATTGGCACTCAGTTCCTGGAGTTGGTTTCAGATTACTTACACTCGAAACTGCATACTTGCTCTTGCTTTTGTGCATATATGTATTAAAGGCTAAATTACTTTCCCAGTCTTTATAAGCAAAGATTGGAGCACATAGGAAACCAGTATGAGTGAATCGCCATGTAGCAAATGAGTAGAAAAAGAGGACATCAAGTTATCATATTTAGGCAATGGGGCATGAAATGCCATGTTCTTTCCTAGACCCTGAAGCAGGCCAACCCCATGATTGGTCTGATCACTTGTTTCTTGATGTATATCCAGAAGATAGAAGACACCCCAAATTTTGGCCTGGAAGCCCAGCTTGCTTTAGGTGCTTGCACCTTTTCCTCTAATGTTGTTGAAATGACAGAAGAAGATTGTCAATAAATCTGAAATTATTGTCCCCAACAAGAATCTTTTTGGCATTTTTATGACTGTAATTAGCTGATTAATGCAACTATATTATGCCTAAAGCAAGAGTACTCAGCTCCTCTGTGTAACTTTCAACCCTTATTTCCCTGAGGCAGGTTTTTACCTTTCCATTGATGAGATATTTTAATGGCTATTAAGCTACCTATTTGCAACTGTGCAGGGATGTTTTGGAGATATGAAGACATTTACGGAGCTCGTATCTAAATCCTTGGAAAAATCTTTGAACTGAGATGAATACTGCTCGCTGAATCAGGGCTATCTTAATTTTCTGATAAAGTTATTCATATCAACTTGAAAATTTGTTCCAATTATTGAAAAAACTAAGTAATTATGAAAGCCTCCTTTCTCATATTTAGATTTAGGCATGTACAGATAAATGATATTTCTTATGCATTAATTTCATAATCTGTAGTCTGATCCAAGCTGATAATGACAAACGGAATTTTCGACGAACTCAGAGAGGGAGAGAGTTTTTGTGGCCATGTTCTATACATCTGAACCCCAAAAGGATAGTCAACCTAAAGGAGGCTTGGTCAGCAAGGAAAGACCAAAGTATTCAAAATTGTGCAGGATTATGCAGATCACACTGGGAATCCTACCAGCGAGGAATAAGAGCACTTCATGTGACAAAATTTTAGAATTCTACCATCTCATTCTTGGTTTTTCATGGTTTGTAGTAACAGACCAGACCAAACTGATATGTCGCATGTAATCTCACTTGTTCTGCAGATAAATTTGTTGCAGTTTCTTTATGCATGAGAAGATCATGCTTCTTGTCAGTGTTTAGAAACTGTATGGTGCATATATACGAACTAGAGTTTGGAACCATGTCTAGTAGTTTTCTTCTTATATACGATACTTCGGGTTTTAATTACAATAGTTTGCTGTAATTTAGATCCAAAGCCACAAAATCTTCATTTATTTTTTCTATCAGATTACCTTAGAACAAAACAAAAAACGTTTGCCAATGCATGGACATGATACAATCAAATGCTTCAAGATATTAGTAACCCCCAATTCTTCTTCAGAAAAACACAACCTTATATGCATTAAACAAAAAGGAGATCAACTTTGAATGTCAAACTTCAACTACAGCAGGCATGTTTCCATCATTTATGCTAATAACAATAAATAATATGAAGTAAAAAAGTCTGAAGTACTTTAAATCAATAAATAAATAAAAACATGTGCCATAATGTGCAAGGCTGAGAGGTGGTGGGCATGAGGATATCAGATTCACCCAATGGTTGACAACTTGACATTAATAATCAAATAGAGAAATGATTCACAAAAGCCATGCATCAACCAATTTTAGGGGAATGCCAAAGCAAATATCTGACTGAAAATCATGTTGCAATGCTGAACAACTACATTCTCTCAAAATTTGAGATCTTCATTACTTTCTTCATACAAACAGAAGAAAAATAGCAACAACAAAAGAATAAAGATTTTCTTCAGCACAGCTGGAATTCTAATTACTTTAGCATACATAGATGCGTAAGCACACCTTCTCCTACTCTAGAAACAGAACATATTTACATAGAGCATATTATCTTAGAGACACAGAAGCAGAATCGAGAGGAGCGCTATCTTCGTAACCTTCATGAGCACCGTTCGGAGAAGCCTCACCGCTTCGATTTTGAGTAACAACATTGCTTCCATTTTGAGCACCAACTGGAAGCAATTTCTGGGACTTGGCAGGCTCTTCTTCTCTTGGAATTTCAACTGCTTCTGCAGTCCCAAACAACTGCTTCCTACAAACCTCTTGCAAATGCCCAAACAACTCTTTCTTAAGAGCCTCAAATGCCATATCCAACCTCTCCAACTGCTCCATTGCGTTCTTGTTATACATAAACAACCCATAATACAAATCAAAGCTGTCCCCAGATGTATTCTCCACCAAATTCAACAAAGTCTCATACCCTTTTGTACTAATTGGTGAAGACTCCAATTTAAACTTCTCCAACACCCTCCCCATTGTATGGGTCACAAATTGTGACCCTGCTGCATGCTTGTCATGTTCTGCACATGACATTTCAACCATCCTGCAACCTTCCCTACCAAAAATGTCTAAAAATTTCTCACACCTATTGAACCTAAACCCATTATTTCCAATTCTAACCTTGTCATACACAAAAGGAAGATTAACCCATGAGTTTTTACCACTCTGTGGTCCAAACATTGGGTGTGTGCAAAGAATATCAAACTCATCAGGCAAATACTTCAACAACAAATCTCTTGGAAATTCTTTGACTGAAAGAACATCAACAAACAGGGTATTTCTTCTCAGCCTCTGAAAAGGGAACGACTTGATTACCTTTTCAGTGGACAAAATTGAAGTGCAGAGAAGAACAACTTCTGGGTGTTGCTCACAGAGGTCATGTGGGTCTGTGAAGAATGAAACGCCGACGTTTTCTGCAACTTTGGAGTAGTCAGAGCGAGATTGGGCGAGGACTGTGTGGCCTTGTTGGACCAAAGTTTTGGCCAAGAACTGGCCGAAATTGCCGAACCCAATAATGGCGATTTTGAGAGTGTTGGATTTTTGGTAATGGGTTTTGATTCGGGTCTCGTAGTCAAAAGGCTGAGCTGCGTCGATGGCTCGAACTCTGAGGCGTTGGAGATTAAGATGGGTCTGGTTTTTTTGGGGTTTGCGAGTGGAAGAAGATGTGATAAGAGAGTGAGAGATTGAGTGAGAAGATGGGTAGAGATTTGGAGTGAGAGGAGAAGGTTTGGTTTGTGTGGAAGAGAATGAGAGCATTTTTGTTGTTGTTGTTGTGTTTGTGTTTCGTTTTCTATTTTAGAGGAGAAGGAGAGAACAGAGAGGCTGGAATGAAATGGAAATGAAAATATTGGAACCTCGATGAAACTGGCTGTTAAAACTTAAACTAGAGAAACGAATTTCTATTTATACAACTGAAATTGGTAGGAACAAAAAGTGTGGAAATATATATATATATATATATATATATATATATTAATACAAGCGATATCATATTGGGTAGACCTGGCAATATTGTACACAACCCATTAACATAACACGAATTCACACGAAAATTTCAGTATTCGGGTCCAAGTTATTGTGTCGTGTTGATATTGTGTTGAACTATTAGCCACACGTTAAGCTAACGTGTCGTGTCGTGTAAATTCGTGAATACCCATTATTAAACCAAAAAAATTCACCCAAAAAAAAAATTTGTGGGTTTGGATAAGCCCCATAACGTTGTGGGGTACACTACACTTGTTTTCAAAACAATTTTGAAACAACATGTATATCAAATTGTCCATGATCTTATCCCTAGAGAAAAGAAAGGAAAAAGATAATTTGATGAAGTGGGAGGAGGAATCCAATTTGAACAAGATTGTTCCATCTCAAAACTCTTTCTTGCAACCACTCTATAAAAGAGAGGAGACAACTGGGAGGCGAGGGAGGAAAAAAAAAAACTGAAAAGCCACAAAGGTAGAGAAGGACAGTCGTGAGGCTACAGAGGAAAAAGCAGTCAAATACATGTTGCATCTGCAACAAGGCACCTCTCTTGAAGTCTCCCATGATTGGGTATAAAGCCCACAAATCAAATTTTGGGGCGGCATCCCTTGAATCAAAATTTCTTGGATGTTCAATCCATCATTAGGTTATAAGCCCTGAAATCAAAGCATTGAGTTTTGCACCCCGGAAACAAAGCTTGGGTATTTCACCCTAAAAACAAGTTTGGGTATTGCACCCTAGAAATAAAGCTTGGATGTTTCACCCTCAATCAAGGCTTTGGGTTTTACACCCCAAAAAAATCGATTTTTTCTATTTAAACCCCATACTTCTCTAAGTTCACCCCAATACTTAAATCATTAAGTTGTAAGTTTTATTATTGTGTAAAATGACAAAAAAAGTCATCAAACTTAATACTTAATCCTAGTACATCTATACACACACTCCACACACCCCACAACTCTTCAAATTAAGTTTAAAAAAAAATACAAACTCTTCTACATCCTATGCCAGACTACTACAAAGAGACCTTGTTTTCTACAAAGAGAAAGGGCAGGGAGGGTCCTAATCAAGAAGTCCAAGTCAATTTGGGTTTGATTGTTTGATTCAGTAGAGAAGGAACGAATGTCAGTGTAGGCAGCCATCACATCAGGGAGGGAAGATCCTAATTACGGATGTCAATATTTGCAAGAACAGAAAGGCCTACATACATACCCTGTTTTGGATGCCGCTGTTTTTGTGAACAGCCCACGAACACTCTCCTCCTTTTCCATTGCTTGACTGATATTCATGGAATTCTCTAAACCTGTAGCTTTCATTCATCCCATTGCATTGCATCACATTATTTGCTTTGGCTTTCTGTCACTGATGGCAATTGCAATGTCATTGGGGAAGAGGTTTCCGAGCACCAAGCCATGCAAGATGGTTGTTATGAAAAGAGCAATGACTGTGATTGTGGCAATGAGAGAGAGTGTAACAGCCAGAGCTTTTGTTACCACATTTGTGACTTCATTTGAGTACCTGATGGTTACACTGGCAGCACCAGTCATTGGAAAAGTATATACCCACCATGCCATAGAAAACCTATAGAACCAAATCTAACTGAATGTCAGAAAAAAAATATTCCTGTACAAAACTACAAACGGTAGATTCAGTTCAGAGAAATGAAAGTGATATCATACTTAAATCCTCGGAAAAAGTTAACCCGGACTACCTGTGCAATCAGGAAAAACGTTAAAAGAACAATTAGCGATAACACCAAGCCAGTTCTTAAGTAGTAATGCAACTTAGTTCAGGTTATACTTGCCAGTGAGAGATAAAGGAACAAGGCAATGAAGTAAGCAATCCGTGAACTGTAATCAAAGGAGCCTTGGATTTTTGCCCATGCCATGGAAGCTACACTTGGTGCTGCAACAAACAGAAAGAATACAGGATGGAGGTCCTTTGGGATTACTGTCTCATTAGTTGGAAGTCGCTGATAGAGTGTTACGAATAAAACTATGTAGTGCGCCAAACCAACAGCAAAAAAGAACAGTGGTCCTTCTTTGTAGGGTTTAAATAGAAAATATCTTTTATTTCTTATTTTTTAGCTTTGGGTGTATTTAAGGGTAGTTTGGGAAGATAATGGGGTTTACTTAGAAATTGTGAAAATTTAAATTAAAAGTTGGGGTGAACTTAGAACATGGGGTGAACTAAGAGAAGTGTGGGGTTTAAATAGAAAATCTCAAAAAATCTTGGATACAAAATTCATCATGGGTGTGTAACCCTCAATCAAAAACTCTTAATGATATATCCATTTTGGGTATAAAACTCATACACTAAGTTCTCTGGATGACGGATCCATTTTGGGTACAAAACCCACAAACAAAACCATTGGGGGTTTAATCTCACAGCAAATAAAAATGGGTTATACCTCTGCCTTTGGAGAATATGATCAACTCTCTCCCTCTTTGACAAGAACAAAAGCCCACTAATTTCTTTGAGTGTGCTGCTTTGAAACGAAAACAAAAAGAAATCAGCTGTTTGCACATAGGCAAAACAAAAAAATAGGGAAGTCAGCAAACGAAAGAAGTTTGGAGGAGAGGTCACGCATAGCCCACGTTTTGCTTGAAGTACTCATCTTGTGTTTGTATGTATACCAACAAAACAAAACAAAAATAGGCAGCACAGAAGAGAAAGAAAAGAGGCTCGACAAAACACAGTAACCAAAAAACAAAAAAAGAAGAGAGCCAGCAGAGGGAGAAAGAGAATGAAGCAAAAGAAAAAAGGGGAATGCTAGCAACCTTCTCTCTAACCTTCTCTTTTGGACTTTCTCCCTTTTTAGCTTTTTTAGCTTGACATGTGTCATTCTCCTTACACTTAAAACAATGTCATTAATATATTATACAAGCTAACTTTTGATTTCTAAGTTTACTCTTATTAATTGTGTTCACGCTAAATCTGAACAGATAAGAGTTTAGGCTAACTTACAAGTATGCTGATGGATAAGGACTAGGGTGACCTTGGATACGAACTGAGGAGGGGATACTGGTGTGGTACCTGTCGAAGGCACTCCGATGCCAAAGTTAATAACTAAGAGCGATTTTATTAACAGTGGAAGCACTAGTCAAGTCAGAAAGTCTTACCACTTGGCCAGGCCAAGGGGCTCTATTTATAGAGAGCATTTGTGATGCTCTTAGTACTCAGTTTCGATGTGGGACTCGTGGGAGAGTCTTCGGAGATCGACACGTGCTCTGACAGGTTCTGGCAGGAGTTCTGAGATGACCTGTCAGAGTTGGATTGATGTGACCGTTGGTCGCTCGGCACACCATGCCGAAAGTAGGCGTGGGTAGCTGATGGACTGTAGTTGATCCTAGAATCGGTAGAGAATGCTGAAGGAACATTCGGCATGGCCTGCTTGAGCTGCTCTCGACTTTAAGTGTGTTCCACGTGTCACGATGCGGGTAGGTGGTCAGATATGGTACAAACAAATTGTATTCAATTTATCCAAAAAAAATTCACAACTTTCTTACCATATTATTATTATTTTTTTAATGACACATTTTTTTTTATTTAAGAAAATGTCTGCTTTTTTAAAAAAGAGGAAATGTTTTTTTTTTTTTTTTAACATCAAGTTAATAAAAAAAAGGACATTTCCTCTTTTTTTTTAAAAGCAAAAAATTTCTTTTAAAAAAATTTAATAAGATGGTAAGAAAGTTGTGAAATTTGTTTGGATAAATCGAATACATTTAATAAGGGTAAACTTGGAAATCAAAAGTTAGTTTGTATAATATATTAATGAAATTGTTTTTAAGTGTAAAAAGAATGACACATATCAAGCAAAAAATGGAGAAGGTCCAAAGAAGAATGTTAGAGAGAAGGTTGCTAGCATTCCTCAAAGAAAAATAGTGGGTTTGCTTGACAAAACAAAAGGCAACTAGAAAAAAAAAAAAAAAAAAAAAAAAAAAAAAAGGGGGGGGAAGAAGGGGGGGCGGTGCCGCACGGCCCCTCCCTCTCTTGGATGATTGTGCTTGGTCTACTTTGAGTTAAAAAAAGAGATTGGCAATAACTGCTACAGTAACAAAAAGAAAAGAAGAATAGGCAAAGCAAATACTCAATCAGGCTTTGTCTTTGGTTTCTGAAGCAAGAAGACAAATTGCTTTCTCCACAAATAAAGAAATCTCAAAGCCTTCAATATGGCCCATGGCAAGGCACAGTCTGTACATACAAAGAGAGAAGACAAAATTCAGCAACATGGAAGGAAGAAACAACTTGTTTCTTTCTTTTGTTATGCAACACAATCAAAGCAAGAAAAAAGAATTAAAGAAGGAACTCTTCCTCAACACCTGCAATGAGACATTTGATTTATTAAGTGGGATATTCCAACCGGCTTGAGACAAACAGAAATAAAAAGAATGGATGTGGACGTGGTGGTTCAGCCACCACGTAAAGCCCCGTTTGGTTCATGGAAATGGGAAATCAATTGATTTCCCATGTTTGGTAAGTTTAGGTATGTGAAATCGTTGTCTGGCTCATGGAAAAGTATGGGGGAAAGTAAAGCCATATTCTTAACTTGGGTTTTGTTTTCCCTCCTCATGGGAAAGTTTGGGAAAATGAGCTAACATTAAATATATATTCTTTATGTCCATTTTATCCTCATTAACAATTTAGAATTACAATATATCATTAAATGCATTCTTTTTTTATTTGATTTAATATGGGTATAATTGAAAATTTATATAAACTTTGTTTTCCCATTCCCATTCATTAGGGAATGACATGGGAAATAATTTTCCTTCAAATTCATTTCATGAACCAAACGGGGCCTAAGGATTCAAGCCTCTCTTTCTGTCATGCAGGAAGCAACTAAGAAATAAGTGAAGTCTATGATGGGCCGCACACATTCAGAGAAAGGAAACCAAAAGGAAGAAGACTTCTTTCTCTCTTGGCTTGCAGCAAATAAAGTTAATTACAAGAAGGAGATAAATTACTTATCACCTGCCTAATTAAAAAATGGGTACAAAATATATAAATATCAGTAGTCTAAGATTTCGCCCATAAAACATGACTTCGTTGCACAAAGTCACAGACCATGAGACAAAGCCTCAAAGCCCAAACAGCAAGTGTTATATGCCCATGGGACTGTGAAGATGCCAGACATGTACCATGATCCAGCAGTCTCGAACCAACGTCTCAAGGCTTGGCGGTCCAGAATATAATGCGTGCATTCCATGGCAAGTTTCAAGCCCAGTGGGTTTCTCTATTAAAAATTCAATTAGCGAACACTTGGTACAAAGTCTCAAATTCACAAATTATGGATTAATGGGCTTAAATTCCAAAAAAATGCCCATTAATTCCCAAATCGTCAAGTGAAGATTCAAGTAGTACAAAACCAAGCCAAATCTCAAGTGGTACACAACCACGCAAATTAAACAATTAAGTTGGAACTACGTTGGTTTGATCTCGTTAAGGATACGTGAGCAGTCTAGCATTTCAATAGACGCAACCACAACCAAATTTGAATCTCTGGTTTATCCTAACCAAATTCTCCAAAACACTTTTCCAAGTGCAAATGTCAATTTTAGAAAATTAGTGGGTTAATCAAAATTGCTCATTATTTTTCTTGGACATTGACAATAAGAAAAATGGTACAAAATCATTCAATTTTTCTCATAAGTCATCTACCCATGCAAATTTCAATGAGATTAAATTCAAATATCTCAAACACAAATTCTCAATTAGTGGGCCACACTTATCTATTAATTTCTAATTTTTCCCATGAGTCATCTACTTGTGAAAATTTCAACATCTCCAAATTGTCTCAAAGACACAAATTCTTAATTAGTGGGCCATACTTACCCATTAATTTCCAAATCAATTCTGAACTATGTTGGTTTGATCCCTTCGAAAGGGTATGTAGGCAATCTAGAGACTCAATCTAGATGCAACCGCCTAAATCTTAAATCCAAACAGAATCCCTGGTTTATTCTTAACCAAATTAGCCACAAATACAATTCAAAATCAAATCTCTGGTTTATTTAGCTAAATTCACTCAATATAATTCAAATCAAATTTTCCTTGCAATGAGTGATTTATTTATTGCAATTATTTGAACTAAGAGTGGCTTGATTCCCGTAAGGGGTACGTAGACACCCTGAGGTTCGACTTAGGAGCAGCCGCAAAACCAAACACACACGTTTTGTTTCTATATGATGGAATCAAAAGGTGTTCCCTTGAAGCAAGGGATTGTAATTAACAGACACCGCGTCTCCAATGGGTCGAACTTAAAATAATATAACTTCATTATTTAATTAGTGGTGGTTAAATTATATTGGGAGGTTGACATTTTTCTTCAACACCCATTAACCCGTTAAGCTCAGGGACATTTTTGTAAATTTATATCTTTTTTTTTCTCCTTCTCTTTCTTCTCTTCCAACCCAATTCCCCCGGCTCTCCCACTGTCTCTCTCTATAAGTTTCTTCTCTTTTCATTATTTTCCCAAAAACCAAACATAACTCTCTCTCTCTCTCTCTCTCTCTCTCTCTCTCCTCCTCCTCCTTCAGTGAACCGTCTCTCTCACCGGTTGCGTCATTAATTGAGGTTTATGAATTGGGGAAGGAGGATAGGAAGAGGAAGGGGGGAACTGCGCAATGGTTATGTACGTGGTTTTTTTTTTCTTTTTCAGTTTTCAATTTTTAAAATTTTTTGCCATTCTTAACGGGTGAAATGGCTCGTGTCATGTGATTCTTGAATTGTAACAAATCGTGTTCGTGTTTGACATTTTTCACCCATTTTCTTATCGTTTCGTGTCGTGTCAACTTGTTAAGAAAAGCGGATTGACACGAACACTGCAAACACGACATGAATGCTAGGTCTAATATTGGGGAACTGGTGGAATATCAAATCTATGCTCCACTTGAGCTACGAGTCTCTTGCTCTATAACCCAACAACAACAACAACAACAACAACAAAAATTGTCAACCTATACGATATATTGAAATTTTGCCTATTTATTATATCTCTTTTACTTGTCATATTGCTATGGTTTTGAGTTAAACTGTTGGTTTTAATTGAGTTAAATTGAACCTAATAGCAATTTTGAGCTTAAATGGAGAAGAATTGAATGACAAAGGTAGTTTGGCAATTACCAATTAGGTAGTTCGGTTTGGAATGGCAATTCTCAAGTATTTGATTGTCGACTTCCAACTTGATGTGCCCGAGCATAAGCAAATTGGAAATTTCACTATATGGGCTGATTTTGAGTTTCAAGTGACGTAGGGGAGCTTTCCAAGTGGCTTTGGGAGACTTAATTAGCTTAATTGATTTTATTTCTTTATCTACGTTGTTGAATAAGGAAGTCTAAATAAGGTTAGAAATAGCCCATTATCCCTCTTTGTTGGGGGAAGTGTTGATTCCCAACTAGAATAGTGAGTTAGGAAGCATATAAATAGGAGGTTTTGGTAGATATCTTGGAGGAGGTTTCGACAGGGATGCCAATTTCAAGTTTTGCTTTTGTAATAGATGTCATAGGTTACATGATTAGACATGGATATATGTCATGACTTATGTGGTTGTTTTGCAAGTTTTCCAAGGAACTTGATTAATCTCTTATTATCTTAATTTCATTACTAGGGATAGAGTGAGTTGGTAAAGAATATTTTTGGTATAACCAAGGATGGAGTATCGAATAAAGTATGAAAAATCAACTGTCAACATGGAGATTAATTAGGATTAACATGCTAAGGGAATTCGGTAGAATTGGCTATGGTGAAATTGGAAGTTCTAATACTCTCACAATCGGTACTTAGTAAATTAAATCACTCTTCGTGGAACGATACTTTACTTAACAACATCACACCACCGAATGCTCAAGTAGAGGTTCAACCAACTATGGTGGACCGTTACACCATTGATCTGACCCAAATTTTCAATCCAAATGCTCATTCTTTGGTGGGGGGATGCTATTACCTTTTTCGGGTCTCAATCTCACAGTTTTGGTGGTTGGTAGTGGAGATGGATGCTTGGGTTCCGTGGACAAGGAAATCTCACGTCTAGTGGGATTGAGTATGGCGTCGATGAGATAGTGTAAACTACAATAGAGTGGAATTTCTCACACACACACACAACTGTGTATGATGTCATTGGGATTCGAACTTAAAACCTATAATTTGCAAATCAATGCCTTTTTTCATTAGATTAGACCCCGTTGGCAATAAAAATATAATTAACTTAAGAAAAAGTATGTCTAAATAGAAGCTCCCAAAGAAGAAACACACATTTTTGACATAAGGTATAATTTGTAATCAACATTATAAAGAAAATCATAAATCATTTTTCTTGAGCCTTTGAATATAAAACCAACCACAAAAATATAATTGAGAAACATATGGGGTTTGAATCCAATTTTGCAGTGCAAAACGTGATGTCGAATGATATTCCAAAGATTATTAGTTGTTTATGGTTGGTATCACGAAATTATTCATTGATCATTGGTAGTACAACAATAATGGATTCGAACAGGGTTGGGCATTCAAACCGGTAATCCGGTCAAACCACCCAAACCAAACCGATGGTTTGGGTTGGTTTGGTTTTTTTTCAATCTTTTTTTGGTCATCGATTTGAACCCAAACCAAACCTAAATATATGGTTCGATGTACGATTTGCAATATTCAAAACTACGGTTTAACCAAACCAAACCGAACCATATTAAAAATATATTATATATAATATTATTATAAGAAATATATATATATATATAAATACATAGTTTCAATCTTTTATTTTTCTTCTATCTCAATCTCTCCGTTTGTCTTGTCTTCATCAGTCTCTCTCTCTTTATTTTTTTTCTCCTTCTTCT